GTGAGCTATTCTCACTGTGTCAGGGACCTGGTCTGCCCTTCACTGGGATAGAAGGACCTTGTGAAAGCTAAGAAATAATCTCTGTACTTTGTTTTCATTTTTCTTCCTTTGCTATACATGTGGATTTATAGGCATTTATTAAATGACAAGTGTATGATTTGAGAATCCTAGGCATACTTCTATACCCTTGAAACTAATGCCATTATCAAAGCATTAAACATATCCATTGTCCCTGAAAATTCCCGTGTCCTGTGGGAAGCTTTCCCTCCACTTCCATCCCACACTAGCCACTGGGTCACTAGTTAGTGACTTGTTTTCTATTATTTCCGATGAGGTTGTATTTATCAGAATGTTATATAAATCTGTGCCTCACTTTCTGTCCACATAAAATAGTTTGAGGATATTGTTTAAACTGGACATTCAGTATTAGCATACATGGGGCTCCTCTACCCAGACCTAAATCCTAACACACAGAAAATCATCAATAAATTGTATGGACTAGTATTTTCTTTGAATGGACCTTGATCCACCTTTTAGGAAATGAGTTAGAAACACAAAGAGTTCCAATCTCCCTCTTTATCTGCATTTCCATCTTCTTAACTACTTATTTTTTTCCCCACACCTTTGATAATGTTTCCTTCAATGTGACTGGGTCTCTCCCAATTCCTTTTTCTCTGTCATTATTGTCTGTGAGTCAATCCCCTTCAGGATACAGGGATTTTTCCAGCACTTCCCATCCAGAAGTTTTCAGTCCAGCTGTTCCTATCACCAGTGTCTGATCTGTCCCTCACAACCCCATTCCTTTTTTGTTTTCATATTTATGTGTAACTGACATCCCCCTTTGTGGTACTTTCACTGCTCAAGTTTCTTGGTGGTTTGGTTATTTAGTTTTGCCTTCAGATTAAAAATTGCTTTAGAAAGAGAATTCCATCAGACAGCATATGTGGCATTATAGAGACTATTCTTCTCTAAATTAACAGAGTGGCTAAGACAAGACTTTGGGTGAAACACTTGTCTTCTCCCTGTCTGATTGTTATCTTCTGCCAAGTGAGTATGGTATCCAATATTTAGGACATCAGAGAATTAATGAATTGATATATTTGACTCTCCAAGCAGTATGTGGCAGAGGGTCAATTCTCAGTAAATTTCACTGTTAGTATCTTGATTTTTGTGTTCTTACAAGAATGGGTTCACCCCATGAGTGTGAACCTGGATCAGGTTGGATTGGACCTGCTGGATCAGAGACCAAGTGGTGGTCAACTTGCCGTGAGTTGACTTGAAGAAAATGCTAATTCCCCCAGTCTGATTTCATCTGTGACTGAAGTGGGATATTCCTCCTCACATTGTACAGTCTCTGACTCTGGCTATACCTCAGTGTTGGTGAAATGGATGGTGGTGTAGTGGGCTAACATCTATGAGACCATGGTTGCTTCATTTGGTTTTCTTTTTTTCATGAATCTGAGAATACTATCTTCATTCTCACTGTTCTTACTGAAACCCACACTGTTACTAGAAAAGTCTCTTCTTGACAGATAAGCAGGTAAGTGAGTCTTGCTCTTCTTGGTGAAGCAAAAACATTAGAAAGGGAACACGTATAGATCAGAAAATTCAAAGTAATGGGTCAGTCTCACTGTTGAAACTGGCAGCAGGAGTGCGGCCATCTGGAGCCAAAAGCAGTTACACATGTGTTTTCAGCAACCTGGCAGCTCTCTAAAACCTATCCATTGGGTTTTTGTGAACTCTCCATTATACAAGAATGTTTGTATTGTGATTGACAAAAATCATGCCATGTGTTAACCAGCTGACCCTTCATCCCTTGTCTTTCTCTGGAGATTAGGGATGAAGGTGAGTATTCCTATCCTCTAATTACAAGGTTGGTTCCCCTGGCTACCAGCTCCCATCCCAGGTTGCCCAGGAGTCCACTGAGAGTCATTGTATTTGGGCAGAAGATACTCCCATCAACAGGAAATTCAAAGGATTGAGGAGACTTGTGTCAGATGCTCACACCACTCAGAAAATTATAGAGATCTTACCATGATTGTGTCTTGAACCAGGGTCAAAGACAAACACTTTTCCTACTACCTATATGAACAAGGGATTCACTGTGTGTCAGGACCTAAAGTCAAACACACACACACACACACACACACACATATAATTAAATTGCAATATCACACAAGTGTATATAATCCTCCAGTTTTTGTCAGTGTCAACATGTTCTCTAATCCTCTGCTTTTTAAGGTTTTGTCTATTTCTTATTTCAAATAAATAATCTAATTAAGCATGGTTTTTCTATGAAATAATCTAATTAAGTGTGTTTTTTCTATGATAGTGATTTTTTATTTTGAATATTTATTTTTCAGTTCTAGAATTTTCATTGTGTTTCCTGTGTAGTTCCAATTTCTCTTCATTAATTTTTCTTTATCCAATTGATCACAGTAATAAAATCGGCTTTAATATCATTATCAGCTAATTCCAACATCTGGGTTCTCTTGGGTTTAGTCTCCATTGATTATTGCCTTGAATATGGGTCACATTTGAATTGTGTCCTCATACATTGTAGAGACTGCATTCATTATTTTTTCATGAGAGAAACAAATAGCATATATTTTTGTTCTTTCAATTGATGGTTAATCTGATTAACTCACACTTCATATTCAGAAGTCTTAGCTCATTTACTTTAGGCTTCTGTGAGCAGGTTGACATCTGTATGCATATGCAGGCATCTGCCAGAGACTTGGAATTAAAAAATGCACACACACACCCCTACAAGTTATGGCCCCACCTTTATCTCTTCTTCCACACGTTTTTCCTTTGCAGCATCTGCAGTTGTCCTCAAATTTTTCTTTTTGTACTTTTGGCTAATGGAGCTATGGCGGTCTACTTTGGCTTTAGTCACTTTGTGGTGTACCAACCACAGCCTCCTTTAGAATCAGAGTCATTTTGAAAAGTGGAAAACTCAACCTTCTCTATCAAGGTCAAATTCCTTCTAGGATCTGCCTGCTCCTGTTCAGTCACTAGTGAAAGCTAAAGATACCGGTGTTTTATATATTTTTTTCATAGTCTATGGTCATTATTTCCAAAAAAAAATGGTTGAAATGGATGTTTTTAGCTGTACCAGAAGCAGAAAATATGGAAATAGATGTTTTGAGATATACCAGAAGCAGAAAGTGTATTTCTCCCAGTGTTTGACCATGTAAGCTTTTGTCTTAACTTTTATGTTGTTAATGTTACAATACTTTTTTTCCTTTTCGAGGCATAGTTAGAAAGCCTTTCCTCATATTCAGATTATAAAGTAATTCACCCGTATTTTCATGTAAGATTCATATGGCTGCATAATTTAAAAATTTTTAGATATCTTTCTGTTCTGTTTGTCTATCTGTGTGCTGGTATAACACTTTCACATGGTGACACAGAAGTGTGTTCTAGTAATTGACGGAAACGGTTCCATAGTTCACACCTCTTCTTTTATTCCTCCTGCCTAATTTTTTGTATTATTTTATATTTAATTTTTAGTGTCAAATTTTCTGGATCCAGAATACAATTATAATATTTACTTGGTCCATCAAAGTTTCAGATTAACTTCTAGAGAACTGATAAGTTTATGAGGTTTCCATGTCCTGCCCAGGATTGAGAAATATCTTCATTAACCAGTCCTTCTTCCTACTGGGAAGTTTGAAACTTTTCTTTATCAAGTTTATTCATTTTATTCTGAAAGATTATAACTTTTGATTGGCTTTATAGGTAGGACTTTGTATTCCATCATGTAACTTATTTTTTGTGGATATGAAGGCTATTGATTTTTGAATATGAATTGTATAGATTGTTCCCTTCCTAAATTCTTCTACTATTTGAATCAATGTTTACGTCTGATTCTGTAGGGAGTCCTTATACTATCACAGAAACTACAAATAGGTTCTTTCTCTCTAACTTATTTTCACCTATATAATTACTCATACTTACAGGATAGTAATTATCATTATTGAAAGAATGGGCCCCTTTGCTTTCTCATAAATAAAGTGCTAGAATATGCACATACATGGTCATGCTAAGGAAATATCCCTGACGCATGTCTCCATATCTTTGCTTTTTAAAATTAATGCTGCTGATTTTTGTCAAAGGCATTTGTTACGATTAATGGCGACAGTCATACAGTTTTAAAAAATATTTATGCAGCTAACTTTGTTATTAGATTTTATGATGCTGAACTTTCTCTGAATTCTTGGAATATATCTCACACCATCATAGTATGTCATCTTCTTAATGCCATGTGTCAAGTACAATTATTTTCTGTGACCCAAAAGTTATGAGAGACTGTGGTTTAAATTAATAAAAATAAGCAGCAAATTCAGTACCATACTTATTACTGATTGTTGGAACCCACACATTTTGTATGAACATGAAGAAAATAGTGAAAAAATCTACAGTTGAAATGTATGCTTATCTCAGAGGAGTAGGATTGTAAATGACAGGTGGAGTATAAATTAATTCTTTTGTGTGAGTGTCCTTATATTATTTTACTACTTGTGATACACATATACATTAATTAAATAATTTTGGAGAGAAGTTTACTAAGGTAATAAAAATAATACAATTTCTGTATGTGACCATACATCCAGTAATGCTACAATCCCTGATGCATGTCTCCATAACACCTTGTATATGCTTCACTCATGGAGTCATTTGCATTTTTCTATGATCATAATTTATCTATGTGTCTCCCACACTGGTCTCTGAGCTCATAGGAACAATGATGCAGGTCACTTAATTTTTGTATATCTAAAGACTGACAAACTATTCTGTATACAGTGGGTGTTTCAGAGACATTTTTGATGTGGAAAATAAAGCTTTGCCTGAGAATGATGCCCTGTAGAATTTAGGAAATGAATAAATACCAATAAATACCATTTTGGGAAAAGACTAAATATTCATATATTTATTACCCTCCCAGGGCCACCCGATCCTGTATGGCCCTGGGAAAGTATAAAAATGCTGGCTACTCTGAGTGGCAGTTCTTAGCTGCCCTTAGTCCCCTCCCCGTAAATGTAACTGCTGTCCTCAGAGGAGTTATTGATGGCCCAGGGGTCTCTGTTAGAACTAGAAATTCTGGAACAAATCTGGGACTAGGGCTATTACTCTGAATTATAACTCTGTGACTTTCAGGCTCTTTTCTGAACAACTTCTTTATGGTCCCATGAAAATGCTTCTTGTTGATTTGATCCTGAGCCTACTGTTGATGGTCCAGAATTGCACTGGGGTCCTGGGGAACACCTTTCTTCTCTTCACCTATGCCTCCAGAGCCTACACCAGCCAGACACCAAGGCCCACACACGTGATCCTCATCAACCTTGCTGTAGCCAACCTCTTGGTGCTTCTTTTCAAAGGGATCCCTCAAATGATATTTATCTGGGGAGTGACAAACATCCTGGGAAATATTGCATGTAAACTTGTCTATTATACTCACAGAACAGCCCGGGGCCTTTCTCTCTGCACTACTTGCCACTTGAGCAGTATTCAAGCCATCACCATCAGCCCTAGAACTGGAGGGTGGATGAAGCTCAAAGACACAGCTTTGAAGAATGTCAGGCTCTCCTGCTTTCTGTGCTGGATCTCCAACCTGCTGATAAACATCTTTGTTCCTATAAAGATTCAAGCCCTTCAGAATATTCACAATTCTACTATTGCTCGGGATTATGGAATCTGCTCTTCTGAAAGTCCTGAAGCAACTTACACTGTGGTTTACACAACTCTACTCTCTTTCCCAGATGTTGTGTTCATGGGACTCATGGCTGGGGCCAGTGTCTACATGGTCCTCCTCCTTCACAGACACCACCAGAGAGTGAGGCATATTCACACTCTTAGTATGTCCCACAGGTTCTCCCCTGAGTCAAAAGCCACTCAGACCATTCTGCTTTTGGCAACTACCTTCATTTTATTTTATGTTGTTAATTCTTTCCTTATAATTTATAATTCTGTGTTTTCCAAAACTCAACATTGGTTTCATAATGCTACCACCTTTCTGGCTGCATGTTATCCCACTCTCAGCCCTCTGATACTGATGCTTCAAGATCCACAACCACCAAGCTTTTGTTCTTTGATGGTGAAAGAAAAGTTCCAAATTACTAGGAGTCCCATTCACAACAGTGTTTCATTTTTTTCAGAAAATCTCCTTATTCACTCATTAACATGTGCATGAGTGGATGTTTAGAACGTGATTGACATACACTCAAGATATTGATAATAAAAAAAAATTAGATGACATTGACTTAGCCATGGAGAGGCATTTAACTTCCCTCAGAAGCCAGACCAACAACCAGATAAACAGAAAACTAGGTGTTAGCAGTATCCAATGTTTTCTGATTGCATTTTTCCTATAAAATATTTGATGGAAATCAGGAAGTGAGCTGGAGTATAAATTACCTGGGGACATATTAGAATTATTAATGGGTTATTAGAGCAAATTATAAGCATATTATGCATTAATAAATGTTAATAATTCTGTGTACAACTACAACCTTGTATGTGTAACCCATGGGAAGCTACTTTATCATTATAAAACTTCAGGTATTAATAATTTCTCTGCGTGCTTTCATTTTCTGGCATGCCTGCCCCATCCCCAGCCTCTGGAGTTCACTTTTTCACAAGCTAATGAAGATCCCAGCACTCCAAAGGAGAAATATGTGTGTATATATATATAAAATCTCATATATATATATATACATTTATATATATATATGTAAAATCTCCACATATATATATAGATACACACACACATGTATATATTCCCATTACTAGACCTGTTAACTAAATCTGCATTTTAGAAGTTGTTTCTGAAAAACTCCCCAAAATGGAATATGATGCTCAGGCCTCAGGTTTAGAAACACCTGGAAAGTTGTCTGCCTTCAAACTTGCTGGAGGAAAAACACACACAGCATTCATATCCATAGTACCTTGTGAATCTGGCTGTAATTTCTTTTTTTGTACCCCATAATTCAGCAGTTGTTTGGCCTCAGCTGCTTTCATTTTTTTTCTGGGGGATGCCATGTCATCTCTCTGTTTTGTCTCTGTGTTCCCCTATTCCCTTACCCTCTCTTACTCTTTCTCTTGTCTCTTTCAAAGATAATATAAAATCTACAATTTTATATCCTAATCTTGGCCTGGAGAAATTTCTCTAGCTATTACCTCCTCCAGTCTCACCGATGAGTTTGTCATTTTAAATCTTACTCATTACAACACTATTCTGACCCTATAGTTGTCCATGTATACAATTTTTACTAGTGTACACTCCTGTACATGAAGTTATAAAAGCCTGTCTCTCAGATCGCCTGCAGAGTACCACCATTAGCCCTCCACTCAGAGGTTTCATGTTTCTTCCTTATTCATCCCCTTATCAGCCATTATGTACAAAATGACAATAGAAACTCACAGTCTCACAAATGTACATTGTAATGGACAAACGCTCTGCATAAACTGACAACCAATGATAGTATTGCATACATAACTTGACTATTAAGGTTTTATTCATGCAACCTTTTTTAAATACCTGGTGAAAAAGTATTGATGATTCAAATAATGACATGAGATCCTTATCTGTACCATAATACATGAACAAAAACTGCATCTTTTCCTCTCTTTGCCTTTTTTTTTTTTTTTTTTTGAGAAAGAGTCTCACTTTATTGCCCAGGATAGAGTGTTGTGTCATCATCATAGTTCATAGCAATGTCAAATTTCTAGGCTCAAGTGATCCTCCTTCCTCAGCTCCCAGAGGACATGGGACTATAGGAACCTACCACCATACGTGGTTACTTTTTTTATTATTATTTTTAATAGAGATAAGGGCTTGCTTTGCTTAGACTGTTCTCGAACTCCTTAGCTCGAGGGATCCTGCTAGGCACCACCACCCTGAGCCCAAAAGCTTTATCTTCAAGGCTTAAAAAAAAATGTGCAACCTGTAAGCTCTCAGAGAAACAAGATCATCTCCCTTATATTGACCCTGGTTTAAAAATGTAACCCCAATATTACCTAAAATTTGTTATATAAACCTTCAGACAGAAACAGATGATGGTTTGTATATGCCTTAGATATACTTTTCCCTAGAGACAAATACATAAGCAAATAAAAACTCCTTAGACTTATGACTCCTTAAACTACCTCTCATAGGGGACATTTGCTCATTATTAAGACTCCTCACAACTGCCCTCTCAGTCCACAACAGATGTTAACAAGGACTCCATCTGAAAACCTCCCACATATTATCTCTCAGAAAAAAATCCCAAATAGAGATGATTATTTCTTTGGATACACTCTACTACCCTAGTAGTGTGTGAAAACTTATCAACATGTTCTTTGCAACCTATCCATAACCTTAAAAATAATCACTAGTAAATCTGTATTAGCAATAGATACTCACAAAAATCTTTACACTTAATTCAAGTAAGTTTTTTTTTGTTTGTTTTTTTGTTTTTGGGGGGGTTTTTTGCAGTTTTTGGCTGGGGCTAGGTTTGAACCCACCACTTCTGGCATATGGGACTGGTGCCCTACTCCTTTGAGCCACAGGCACCACCCCAATTCAAGTAATTCTTGATAATTAC